GTACCACCGTGATGTCTTTAGTATCTCACATACATTTGAGTCTGTCCTTTTGGTGCTGGCTAGAGCAGTGGTTTTAGTTAAGGATGTGTTAGGAGACAGGATGACAAGGTGCTTGCAAAGAAAGGGGAGGAAGGCTGTGAAGGACCTGGCGTATTTCTACAAAAAGGAGAGTTGTTGGCCATATTACAAACTGGCCTCACCAGTCCCAGGGCTGGGGAGAGAGTCAGAGGTACAGCAGCACTTGCTTAGCTCACACAGATTCTGAGTTTGATCCTCAGCACTTTGGTAAAGAAGTACAAAAAGAAGCATTCACAGAAGACTTGAGGAAAACACCTTTACAGTGGAAGATTTCAATATAAACAATAGTGAAAAAATACTTAACTATAGCCAATCTTGCATCATCAGTCTCTTGAGTCTCTTATTTTGAAGTAACCGTTAGCTACCATATCATTTAAATTGTACTATTGTAGTTTACATATATGAAAAATAAGGATTTGATAAACATAGCCATAAAGGACAATCTTCATTTTCATCAAATCTTTAGGTAGTATTCCATATTCCCCAATCATCTATCTTCAAATATTTTTCAAATCAGGATGCAAATAAGGTCTCGTCTATCGCCTTGGCTTGCCATCTCTCTCTCTCTCTCTTTTTTCCTTAAACCGTTTGCTGAAAGAGTAACACCAGGACACTATCCTTTGGAGACTCTTGGGTCACAGATTCATGGTTTAGTAAGACCAGACCACAACAAGTCCATCTCTGCTGTTCAGACACTGCGTTTCTAGGTGGAGGCCTGGTTTCTCAACTCCGGGGCAGGGTCTGCAGCACCCCACAGCTTGGTTGTCAAAGATGGTCCCACGGGGCAAGTCTGTGTACTTGCAGGCAGAACCTCTGGACAGATGGCCTGGGTAACATCATTAGTTGGTGTCCATTTTGGAGATGACTACTTGAGGTAAAGCAATATGACAACGGGCTGCAAATGCAACCAGGTAGACGAGGTCGTCACTAAGCTCCTCTTGAAGGGCTTCTTGTTCCTCTGGTAGCCAGGCTTGAGGAGCAGGCTCTAAATCAAACTTCCACAGAAAGAGTTCTGCCAACTCGCCCACCTCACCCACCAAGACTAAGAGCAGTTCCGAGGCTGGTGGAACTGCTCCCAGTCCTGCTCAGCAGCAAACTCTGCCTGGAGGCATCCAATGTCCTTGACCATGGGCTGAAGTTGAAAGAGCCGGCAGCAGCAGTGTCTTCCTGCCACACATCACCACACACCCATCACCACCAGTGTAGGACATGCTGCCTGTCCCTCTCAGCTGCGTGGGAACAAACCCCATGCTGGAGCCACCTCCAGGGCCCTGACCAGTCCATTGCCTTATCTCTTGTACATCAAGAGACCCAGATGCTGGGCTCTCAGCATCCTTGTAAGATCATTTCTGTTCCACAGTTAAAAAAATATACACTTTATATTAGAGTATATATCATAAATATATAATATATAATATATATGTCACATACATTTTATATATTATATATAATATTTAAAGATATATATTTTATATAAGTCGGGACTAGACCAGGGATATATATACAAACATATATACATACACATATACATATTCACACACATATATATAAATATATATATACATATACATATATATATAAAACATCAACTACTGGTAAGTTGTGGGAACTACAAATGTCCTCTTAAAATGGACACAGAAGAATCCTAACTAAAAGGAGTTGATGGTTTGGCCTCTGTGTCTTGTCCATAGGGCAGAGAATAAGCTGAGGAGTATTACTTTAGGCTGTTGACCACATTTTGAGCCTTTCAGTAAGCTCGCTCTCTCTGTATGAGTGGAGAGGACATTGCTGGGTGTATGGTAAATAAAGCCAGTTTTCTCATCTTCCCCAAGAGCTGAGTCTGATTATTTCTGTGCTGTACAGGAGCCTCAGCCAGCTGTGCCTGCTCAAAAGTGAAAGCTGCCTTGCACATGGCCGACTTGGTCCTTAATCATAACTCTGACGGTTATCACTGTTGAAGGCTCATCAGGTCATGTGTCTGCTGGGGTCCACAGAAGACGACAGGTGGCTATTTGTTGAATGAACACTACCGAGAGCCTCACATTTAACCTTCACATGTCAGCACTGCGATGTGGGCTTTATACCTCTGTCTTACACAAGCATAGTGAGAACTGGACCTGCTGTCACCTCGGAATTTGCTCTGAGTTCTTTATGTGTGTTGCTATCCCAGTAATCCACATAAAACCTCCAGGAAACAGGTGCTATTACCTCACAGCACTAGGAGGGATTTGACCTACTGAAGCTCTCCCCTCCCACCTCAGTACTGGGGACTTAGCTCAGAACCTCACGTATATTCCCCAGGTACTCTACTACCAGGCCAGATCTTTGGCTTCTTTTTAATGTAAAATTTTTATTTTGAGACAGGGTCTTGCTAAGTTAACCAGGGTGGTCTTGAACTGGTTCTATAACCCAGGCAGAACTTGAACTTGCAATCCTCCTGCCTCATCCCCCTCATTATCTGGAATTATAGGCCATTCCTTGCCAGTCAGGCCCAGATTGATTTCAATTTGAGTGGGCAAAGTTAGTTAGTGGCAGTACTTGGAGGACAGACTAGCACCAGCACTCCGGGTTTCAGGTTCTTCATATCACAATCAAGTTCAAAATGGTACTGGTAGAGATCTCATGCCAGGCTCCATTCACTTCTCTTTCCCATCCTCACCACTGCTCCTTCCTCCTTCCGAAGAAGAACAACCCGGCAGACGTGGCCGGAAGGCAGTTATATAAAGAAACCTCAGTGATCCACAGTATGGATTTTTGTGCACGGCTGGCTGGGTTAGCGCTCTCATTCCTTCCTCAAACATACTCCTATGTTTGAGGCACTCCTATGTGCACAATCTTGTTAGCACACCAGTGTGTACTCATCCGGAGAGCAGCAATTCTGAGGCTTCCTGGAAACCCTTGGCAGGAGAGTGTCGGTTTCCTTGGGAGGCCCTCTCACTTTCTTCTTCCTCTGGAATTGTTACATCCCTCAAGGTAGCTGGAGCTGCAAGTTTCCTTTCCTAGGAGTCATGTAAACTTGAGAACAAAGTGAGAAGCCTAGAGCAGAACCGCCTGGGGAGACGTGACGGGAACTTGGGAGCGCTTGGAATTCAGTCCCCCAGGCCATCTTGTACATAGGCTGACTTCGTAGATGGAGAAGAGATAATTTTGTAGAGCCCGGAGTTCTTAGCCCTTCAGTCACAAAGATCCTAGGCTCCAGCCCTCAACCCTAGAAGGTTCTTATGCAAAAAAGACCTTTTGGGACGACTGCATACATTGTCCTCTGACAATGCAAACGTGACAGCTGCCTATCCAACAATCGTTCCGCCTCCGTTCGGCTGAGTTCGTGCTACACAGGCATCTCCTGCGCTATAGTTATGCAACCTCACTCGCAGCGGGAGTTATTTCCTGTGCTGCTGGATGCGCCAGATTCATGTAACCCGCCTACCCCGGGCTTCAATGGAAGCCGTTCTCCATTAACAAGCATTCGGGCTTTCAGAGATGAATGCCTTGCCTTGCATGCTGTTTGCTCAGTGAGAATCGCGCTGAGGTATTGAAATCAACTCTTTACACACACACACACTTCTCACTCCCTTGTGCAAGAAGCAAGGGGACTGCAGCAATGCAACTAGAGGGACAGCAGGAGGAGCTCGCTTTGCAGTCCCGGCCTGTAACCCCCACTAACTCGAGATGAACTCATGCCAGTTCCATTCTTTGCAAGGAAAACACAACACACGCGCGCGCGCGTGCACGCGAACTGAGCAGAACGGAGTGGCCTTCTGATTTCTTCCCGGAACACACGGTGTATGCGGGCTGTTTGTACAGACGGCTTGGGTATTCCAGGCCGAGTAACGGGGAGTTGCGCGTCGCAACAATGCCGGTCCCGGAGCAGCTCTGCTCACAGCTCCCACCCCCGCCCCCTTTCGCGGCGTGCCAAGAGTTTGGAGCGCGCGCACGCACACACACGCGCGCGGTGCAGCGGCGGCATATCCCTCCGCCGCCCTCCTCGCCCCGCTCCCGCTGCCCGACGATTTGGGAAGAAGCGAGGGGAGGAGGGAACTACTTTTCTGAAACTTGTTATGCTGCCCACGATCCCGAGCTGCAGTGATTCGCCTGCGGGCCGTGGCTCTGAGGTCTTCCCCCCTCCACCCCTCCGAGGCCCCGCGCCGCTCGCCCGCTCGCAGCCGCGCCCCACGTCCGCCCGCCCGCCCGCCCGCCCGCCGGCTCCCGCGCGGGCCCCGCCGCCCCAGAAGTCGCGAGGGACTACTTCGCCTGCCTCTCCCGCGGGCGCCCCCGGTTCGCGCGGCGGAAGGAGCGGGCGGCGTGAGAGCTTCCGCCGCCCCCCTCGCGGCTCCCTTCTCGCGGGCGTGAGGAGCGGGCCCCGCGGAGCTGCGCTGCTCTCGGCTCTCTCCTCGCCGCCGCTCGGCACTGCGCCCTCGGGCTCGGCCGGCCGGCTTCGCGCCCTGCCTGCGGCCCTCCAGCTGGAGCGCGCCTGAGGGAGCCCCGGAGGGCCGACCGGGCGCGCCGCGCGGGCCGCCGGCGGCCAGGCGGGAGATGGTGCGCGGCACCTCGGCGGGACCGCGCCGCCGCCCGCAGCCAGCGCTCGGCTGCCCCCCGCCGGCCCCCGCCGCCCTCCTGCCGTCGCGCCCCTGAGAGCAGCACCGCCTCAGCCGCCGGCCGCGTCCCTTCAGCGCCCGCAGCCCGCCCGCCCGCCCGCCCGCTCGCCCGCCCGCCCGCTCGCCCGCGCCGTCTCGGCGTCGCACCCGGCCTCGGCGCAGCGAACCGCTGGGGTCGCCACGGCCGCGCTCGCCGCCGCCGCCCCCCTGCGGGGGTGGCCGGGCTGCCCGGCTCGCGGGGCGCCGCTCCGGGTGAGGCGTCCACCATGGTGAGGCCCCCGAGCCGCTGCCCGCGCGCCCCGCCGGCCGCCGCCGCCGCCGCCGCCACCGCCACCACCACCGCCACCACCACCACCGCCGCCCGCCGCCCCTCGGTGCCGCCGCTGCCGCTGCTTCCCCGCCTGCTGTTGCTCCTCCATCTCCTGAGCGGATCACGGTGAGGGAAAGATGAGCGAGGAGACGGCGACTTCTGACAACGAGTAAGCGAGCCCTGGCTTGGGTGAGCCGGGTGGGCAGCCCCCTCCCCCAGCCCGTCCCGCCCGCGAGGTGATCGAATGCCCGATGTGTCTGTCGGGCCGTGTTCTCTCATGGCAGCCCCCCCCCCCTTCCCATCCTTGCATTCGCCTCCCTGCTTGGGAAAGGCGACCGAGTGCAGAGCAGAGGCGCTGGAGCAATGGGACGTCTCCGAGACGGAGTAATGTGGGGTGGCTCAAAGTGGAGTAGAAAGTACCCTTTGCCTGCCCTTCTTCACTCCTGCACACACACACACACACACACACACACACACCCCCAACACCTTGACCATCGAGCCATCCTCCCCTTACAGCTATTTCGCTCGGAAACTAATGTGTGGGAGCACCTCCTGCCGCAAACTGCTCTTGAATCCTAATTCGATGACTCAGTGACTCTTAAATGCCGATTAAGCCTTCGCCCCCTGCCCCACTTTTTAAACTCATGACCTATGCTTTTCTAGTTAAAAAAAAAAAATAGGGTTAGGGAAACATTTTAAGAATCAAATAGGATTAAGGACACCTGGAGTGTGGACGCTGTTGAGCTATTGTTTTTTTTTTTTTTTAAACCTTTGTGAATACTGAACCTGTCTTCATCAAGAACAGAGCAGTTGAGAATTTTGAATGCTAGTGTCTGGCTTTCGTCTGTGAAAAAGCACCGTTTACATTGCCGAACGCGTTGGTGACTTCATCAGTTTCATCTAGAGCATTCCATGACTTTTAAGTTTTTTTTGCTTGTTTGGGCTGTCCTTAGGTTTTCCAAACGAAGCTCTGTACCTTTTAAACATTTTGCTTTAACGTAGCAGCCGCTTGGAGGAATAATGGTGCTGTAAGATTTTCCTGTTGAGAGGAGAGTTAATTTGGGGCAGAATATCGGGGCATCCGTTTTCTTGTAATTGAGTTCAAGTTTTGTTTGTTTCTGGGGGATTATGAAGAGTTAAATGAGGATGCATTCCTTTAAATAAAGTACATTCCTCAAGTCGGACCTCCTCGAGAAGGCTTTAAAGGCCAGTGCTGAATCCCGTTTAGCATAAAATAGCTAGAAAAATGCCAAGCAGTGTTCCCCCCTCTTTGAAAAGCACACTGTGAGGGAGCGGGTGTGGAAGGAGGTGGATTGCTGCAGTCAGTGCAGTCTGGAAGCAGAAGTGGCCGCCATGTTCTCTCTTTTTTGTGAATCGCCCTCATTTGCATAGCACACTTCATTCATAAAAAAAAAATAATTAAACATCCATCACCTTGGACAACTTGAAAGGGTTTCCTAAGAAAAGCATTCGAAGCTTGTTTGTCTTTACGTAGATTTTTGAGTTCAGGAAGTGAGGAGAATTAGAAGTTTTAGATTAAATTTTAGAACATACGAACACACAAACAACTACCCCAGTTCTCAGAATGTTGACACAGTTATGTGGGAAATATCAGTTCGGGGAGGTGCTGAGATCACGTGATCGCCTCCATTCATAAAATACCTGGCTGTCCATTCACAGTGCAGTACACTGTCACTGCCTTCCGCAGACTAGACCTATTTTGATCGAGATCAAGAAGCCTGTCTCAGTACTGGGTTAGGAGAAAAACTGCGAAAATGCTGAAGGGAAGGACTGGAACTTTTATTAGTATCTTGGAAGAAAGCAGCTGGCAGAAAATCTTAAGATCTATTTTAGAGATGGGCAAGGATGTCTTACCAGTTTAATAGTGTAGAAAGTAGTATTGCCTTGCTGCGGCTGAGGAACAAACCATGGGATGTGGACTAATGCAGGCATATAATAGATTGTTTCAAAACGGGCCCTTTTTTTGGTACTATGGTAAATTGAAAGTGCAAGTAAGTGTGTGAGAATGATCTCAGTGGATGGAACCTTTGTTGCACTAAAATGAAAAAATATTTCCGATGGTTTTAATCCTCAAAATATTGATGCTTTGAAACAGAACAATTTGGAAATTACTCATCCAGATTTTTAAAATTGTTTTCACAAATATATCCTGCCTTATTAATACATTGTTCCCTAGGAGCTTTGTAATATTAGTTTGGGTAGGAAAAGAGTAATCTATTTTAGCATGTATTTATTCTCTAAAAGGTTCTTCATAGAGTAAAAGTATTTTTTTTAATTAACGTTGGAAAAATGATTGTGATCATCTGGTAATCGTTGCTGCAAAAGCTGACATTGTTTACTTGTGCCTTAGCTCAACCACAAAGTGGATTTCTTGGAATGTCGATTTTAATCTGGTCATTTGTATATCTCATCTTTAACGTAGGAGGTGAAGTTTGGAAACGGAAATTCATTATTTGTAATCATACATTATGAAAAAGCAAGAGATACAGTAGTGCCCTCATGGTTTAGGTATACTTTAAAATGGCCCTGTATTATTTTTTCCTTTTTTCTTTAAGCCATAGTTCATTGGGATTTAATTACAGTAGAAATTTACTTAACATTTTATTGCTTCATTTTTCTTTGTTTTTAGCCTTTGAAAGAAGGTGAAAATCACTAATTTCTTGAAGAGTGTGTTGACTTTTAAAAATTAATAGATAGCCATTGTACTGAAATATAATAAGGTTTTTTAGAATCCTCATTCTGAACCATTATTTGAATTTAGTTTTTTTTTTTTTTGGTAGATAAATAGCTGAGGAGATTGCATATCTAATCAAGAATTAGTGGAAGACGTATTCCGTAGACAGCTTTGTCTTAACAGTGAGAAGTCAAATGTGGAAATGAATGAGACTAGGAGGAAGCAGTAGACTGTTTCAGATTCGTGTTTGAAAAATAAGGTGGTTTTGGCAGGTAAGATGGCTCAACTGCTGAACTCACTTTCCACTATCTGGCCTGGTGACCTGAGTTCCATTTCTGGGACTTACATGGTGGAACCTGCTCCCACAAGCTGTTCTCTGACCTATGTGGCACCTGCGTGTCCAACACAGTCACACAAATAAATGTAATAAAAGCATTTTTTAAATGAATTTTCAAAAGACAGTAAATAAACTGCTTTATGCCACGAATAAAGGAACTACCACACGATTTTATTTTCAAAGGTAAAATTTCATTTTGCAGAAACTGATACTCCAGAAACTGAATAAAGATGTACCATATTATATATAATGAGTTAGCCTTTTAAATACAATTTTGAACACTTAAGGATATATTATGTAATACCTAAGGATCTTTGTGATTTGTTGTTGAGTGAATATCATACTACATACCTTTTGCCAATTTGGCCAGAGCACTCAGAGGAGTGAAATAGCTGAAAAATCAAGAGTTTTGTTTATTGTGCTTAAATAAACCAGAACCACCTGCCATGTCAGTGTGCTGGGCTTTTTAATATCAAGTTGGGATTACAGTAATTTTAGAGAAGGCTAATTAAAATTGAATCACTTGAGATAAATCTGGGTTAGAACCATTTCTCCCGTCAAAAGCAAATTTTGTGATTATATCATTTAGTGCATCATTAAAAATTTACCTCAAGTATGCGAGTATATGAATTTTCTTTCATTTGTCTTATATATGTGTATGTTTGTGCATACATTATACACATATAGTTAGAAAGTAATTCTAGAACTGAATGGAAAGAAACCTTGGGATGCTCTGTAGCAGTTATTCAAGTAATATATGTTTGTGTAGATGTCATGAATACATAATTTAAAATTTGCTTAGAGTTCATTGGAGCTCAATGCTAGCTCATCTGCTTCCAACTTCATTCCTCCTTTTCCATAGAAAGCTTTCTTGTCTTGAATTGTATGTTTTTAAACTATATGCTAGCATGCTCAAAATAATTTTTCAAGCAAAAATCTTGTGGAAATAATTTTTCTCCAGAAGACTCAATTGTGCCATGCTCTCCAACAGTCTGTTCTCCTGTGTCATTGTGTACTTGAGCCACACTTATAGTTAGATTTTTAAAGTCATTAATGTAATCATTTACTCGTTTCTATGTCTCTTATTGCCCCTTACTTCATAATGCTTATTATATACTTTTTTTGTGTGTGTGATTTTATGCATTTGGGATCATTTAGTTTTGTTAGAAAATAGGCTGAAACATTACGGGAAGAATTATTGTTATCTTTTAAAAATTTACATTGGCTTCATTTTTGACATGTTAGATTTCCTCCATTTCTGGAAATAATAGTTGAGACCTAAAACTATCATAGATACTTTTGGAGTAATCACTGTGTTGGCTTCTGAGCTATGCATTGTATCAACAAAAGGGGAGTCATTTATCTATCTTTATCAGTTTTGAAGATTTGAAAATTTCTTCCTTTTACAGCTTCTCTGTGGTGCCAAATATGAGAAACTGGCTAGGAATAAAGAAGGTCATTGATGGGGAAAGGATAAAAATTATAGGCCCCTTAATTAATCGTATGCTGCTGGTGGTGACTGAGTAGTATCCAAGGGGAAAGACTGACAACCTTACTCTGATTAGGGTAACTTGAACTTGACTAATAGGTCTGTCTCACTAAGTGTTGGGAAGGGTCATACAGAGAGGTTTGCATTTCTTCTCCAGCCTTCTCAAAGAGTTGCATTTGGACTAAAGTTGCCAATTTGAGAAATAGTTTACCCACCCATGCAAGGACAAAAACTATGGTTCAGAGATGAATAATTTATTTGCTGTGCTACCATGAGATAACAAGGACTATATATATATATATATATATTTTTTTTTTTATGTAATTTCATGGATACTCCTTTACCTGTGATTTTGATGATGATGTTTATATATTGGATTTTTCACTTTGTTCCAAGCACTGTGAAAAATGCTTTATTTAAGAATTATGTAACTAATGTTTATACACATTCACATGCACACACACCCTCTCTGACTGGAGTGGAGTTTCACAATGGATACTATGGTAGATTAATATATGTAAATATTTTGCTGTGTTTTAATTATCTTTCCTTTTTTATATAATTTATTTATTTTTATTTTATGTGCATTGGTGTTCTGCCTGTATGCATGTCTGTATGAGGGTGTCAGATCTTGTAGTTACAGACAGT